GGGCTCGTGAGATCAGCCAGGGTGGCTCCCCCTTGGGGCTCCCAAATGATGCCCCTGGCAGCGTTTTGTGACCATGAGGCTCTCAAGAGAGACATGTTGGGGAGGCCAAACGGCAATTTTAGCTGAGACGTCCCACCAAAATCGGCGCGAACGGGCTCGTGAGATCAGCCAGGGTGGCTCCCCCTTGGGGCTCCCAAATGATGCCCCTGGCAGCGTTTTGTGACCATGAGGCTCTCAAGAGAGACATGTTGGGGAGGCCAAACGGCAATTTTAGCTGAGACGTCCCACCAAAATCGGCGCGAACGGGCTCGTGAGATCAGCCAGGGTGGCTCCCCCTTGGGGCTCCCAAATGATGCCCCTGGCAGCGTTTTGTGACCATGAGGCTCTCAAGAGAGACATGTTGGGGAGGCCAAACGGCAATTTTAGCTGAGACGTCCCACCAAAATCGGCGCGAACGGGCTCGTGAGATCAGCCAGGGTGGCTCCCCCTTGGGGCTCCCAAATGATGCCCCTGGCAGCGTTTTGTGACCATGAGGCTCTCAAGAGAGACATGTTGGGGAGGCCAAACGGCAATTTTAGCTGAGACGTCCCACCAAAATCGGCGCGAACGGGCTCGTGAGATCAGCCAGGGTGGCTCCCCCTTGGGGCTCCCAAATGATGCCCCTGGCAGCGTTTTGTGACCATGAGGCTCTCAAGAGATACATGTTGGGGAGGCCAAACGGCAATTCTAGCTGAGACGTCCCACCAAAATCGGCGCGAACGGGCTCGTGAGATCAGCCAGGGTGGCTCCCCCTTGGGGCTCCCAAATGATGCCCCTGGCAGCGTTTTGTGATCATGAGAGAGTGTGAGTGTGAGTGAATGTGACTGTGAGAGAGTCTGAGTGAGAGTGAGTCTCATCTTATCTTATCGAGTCCTATCTTATCTTACCTTTATTACCATCTATCTTATCTTACCTTGAAATCTCTTATCTTGTCTTAGCTTATCTTATATCAACTCATCTGATCGCATCATATCTTGTCTTATCTTATTAATCCATAGGCTGTCTTATCTTATATGTTATCCTACCTTGTCATATATCTTATCTTCCATTATCATATATTAAGCTATCTTATCTTATCTTGTAGTATCTTATCTTGTCTTGTCTTATCTGGTGATTATCATTGGGAGGAGGGAGGCGCGAGCGGGAGGAAGGAGGAGCAGTGGGAGGCGTCAGAGTAATAACAAGAACCCCAATCCTTAGGATATGGGGAACAATCTCGCACGACTCCCACCGAAAGCGAGGCTGACCGACATATTGTCACACACACACACACAAAAGGAGCTGCCTGGTATTCGTGGCACGCGCGCTTGTCGCAACTCGAATGAAACCCCCCACTGGAGCCCTGGCTTCCTTCGCAAGGATCCCCTCATAATAACTCCATGTCTGGGCTCTCGCGAGACGCCGCCGCTCCGACTTCAACGCGTGAGCGGGCACCCCAAGGAAGGAAGAATCTGCTGCCCTCTCCGCCGCGGCCTCCCGGGCAGTCTCGGCCCCCCTCTGCGAGAGTTGATCTTAAACGTGAAGTTAGACACTACGCTATGACCCTACGTAAACTTCACGTAGCGCAGTGTCAAAGCCACGCGACCGTGACACTACGCTATGACACTACACGAGCACAGCGTCATAGCGTAGCGTCACAGCCAGGTGCCCCAAACACTACTCTGTGACACGACCCTAACCGTAGCGTAGTGTCACAGCGTAGTGTCATAGCGTAGTGTCGTTGCGTGGCATCGCAGCGACGTCAACTGTCGCGTAGTGTCATAGAGTAGTGTCACGCCCAGGTGTGGCCAACACTACGCTATGGCACTACGCTAACGGTAGTGTAGTGTCATGGCGTAATGTCAATCAGCGTAATGTCACAGGGTAGTGTCGCGCGATGTCAACACTACGCTATGACACCACACTAACCTCAGCGTAATGTCATACCCACGTGAGGTCAACACTACGCTATGACACCACACGAACCGCAGCGTAGTGCCATGCCCGCGCGAAGTCAACACTACGCTGTGACACCACACAAACCGTAGCGTAATCATACCCACGCGATGTCAACACTACCCCATCACGACGCTAATTGTAGCGTCGTGTCATACACACGAGATGTCATCACTACGCTATGACACTATACGTAACTTTCGCAATTCCACGATACAGAGGCTAACTTTACGATTAAGAGAAACCCCCCCCCTCTGCCCCTCGGCGCCCGGGGCGACATGCCCGCCCGCGGCGGCGGCCCAGCTGCCATCGCCTTGCCGCTCGAAACCCGCGGCCTCAAGCGAGCTCTCGCGAGCACGGTGCGAGCCCACGCGATTGAACCGGCGTCCCTCGGGAACGCGCCCGACCTCTTGCGCCGCGGCGTAGCCTTCCAAGCTGCTGTGAGCATGCGCGACCAGGGGTTCGAGTCCCGCCGGTAGCTCGCCACGAAGATCATCAGGCCCCTGGAGACCTGCAGCTCGGCGCG